GGCTCGGGGAGGCTTTCCTGAGGGGACCGGGGAAATCGCAGGCACCGTCGGGGAAGGGGCACCGACCCGCAGTTCCCAAAAGCTCCGGGAGCCCGGAGTCGAGCGATGTCCCCAGAGGGACACCCTACCCCCGCAAAATCATCGCCGCAGCGCGGGGCTGGGGGGTTCTGTGTCGTGTGCCCCCGCTCTTTACTCTTTCGCCCCTAAAAAAACCCCAAAACAAAACCTTTTGGTTTAGGTGTGACCTTAAAAGCACACCGTGCCCCCCTCCCGCAAGGTAAGGCTGAAGCGCTGGGACAGCGGCGGGGTTTCGGGAGGGAGGCGCAGGATCAGTCCCTTCATGAAAACCCGGCGTTTCCCGAAGGGTCCCCAACGCCACCTGCTGTCCCCGTCTCCCCGAGCCTGACGGGGACTGTCCCTTTGCATTTCCAGCACCCAAGGTCTGCGATGCCTGCAAAAACAAAAACGAAGACGATAACGACATCGTGGAAAACCTCTGCAAAAACGACTTTGGTAAGTGGAGGCAGAACCCTCTCGGTTGAAAGTTGGGAGTTGAGCAGGTAAAACTCCCATGGGAATGAGAGGGAGGTATGCCTGAATCAAGGCAGGGCTTTGTCTTATCTGCAGATGGACCCATCGTGAAACACAAAAATCCACATCAAAATAAAACGTAGCCCTTTTTATAGTCCCTTTTCTGTTCGCTGTTTCGAAGTAGTGCTCTTTAATGTGGATGTTGCCGGCAAGCTGAATAAAAAGTAAAATGAAAGAAAAAAAAAAAAAGAATCTTTCATGCAGGCTATTGCCTGGGGAGAAGTAGAGCAAAGCTTCATTTAGACGTATGAGAAAGAGCCGCATGACCAATCTCACGTGTCATAAGAAAGACTTTCTCCACAGATTAAGAATGAAGCTCTATATATCATTTGACAGAGAAGGTAATGCACAGACAATTGGGGATATAAACTTAATGGGAAGATCTGGGGTTAGAAGAGGACAAGAAAGCCCCTTTGACACAGACAACTGAACGGCACATTATCCACGCATTAGCATTTCAAGAGAAAAAGGGAATGAGGAGGGGAATCCTTTTATAATAGGTCAATATTTATACCTGGAAACAGACTTGTGGTATAAATATCTACAACAATTCAAAATTCTGTCTTTAAAAGAAAAAAAATCCACCGCCCAAAACCTGAAACCATGACTGTGGGACATAATTGCTAAAACAACCAATAGCTTTGGCCTGGCAAATTGCACTCAGATAAATCCTCCTAAAGCTAAACATGCCCCACAGACTCTTACAGAGCCCTGTATCCCCCTCCCAGTTATTTTACCAAATCGAATGCAGCTGTTGGACCAATTTGCCCTCCATAGGATCTATTCTTTCAAAAAAACAATGCATGTGAAATATCATTTCCTTACAGGTTTGCCTAAAATCCTCTCCAGCCTAATAAATTAAGTTTAGAAGTTTTCGGCCGCGGCAGAGATCAGGTTTCAGATGAGGTCTAGGTACTTTGCCTCCCCACCTCCCCTTCAAACTCCAGTTTCAGAAAAACTCTGTTTTCCCAGCAAAAACCTGAGCGCTGCTTAACGTAGCAAACCTGCCCGCTCTCTGTTTGCAAACAGGAGAAAAGCCGGAGAAAATATTAATTTAGAAAGGAAGGAAAAAAGGAGGGGGAGGGGGAAGAGGAGAAAAGAAACCCAAAAAACCCTCAGCCCTAAGGTTGATTCAAACTGAAATGACTTGCATGCCCTTTGTGGCTTTAGAAATGGAGCCACCTGCTGCCTCTTCTGTCAGCCCTGACAGTTTAATTAGCAATAGAGCACCTCCCTCCCCAGGTCCTCTTTATGTGCACTAATGGGAAAAAACCTCTCAATCTCTCTCCCTCTCCCCTCTTCCCCCTCCCCGCTCTCTATTAGCCTTGAAGATAAAAGTGAAGGAGATTGCCTACATCAATGGGGATACCAAGATCACCCCCGAAACAAAGAGCAAAACCATCTACAAGCTGAATGGGCTGACGGAAAGGGATCTGAGGAAGATCGTGCTCTGGCTCAAAGGTGGCCTGCAGTGTACCTGCGACGAGATGAACGACATCAACGTCCCCTACTTGGTGATGGGGCAAAAGCAGGCAGGGGAACTGGTGATCACCTCGCTGAAGCGGTGGCAGAAAGGGCAGCGGGCTTTCAAGCGCTTCTCCCGCAGCATCCGCAAACTGCAGTGTTAGTGGCTTCGGTTGCGGCCACCTCCGTCCCGAGCTCTCCGGGCCTCCCGCACCTTCTTGCTTCGGCCCCTCTAAGCCTCGAGATGCCACGGGCACGAGACATGGCAACCGAGAGGGGAGGGAACCCTCTGTTTTTGTACATAGGTTAAAATGTAATAATAATAATAATAATAATAAAATCATGATTATTTTTTGGGAAGTATTAAAGTATCTCGCTTAAAGCTTTTTTTTTTTTTTAAAATATGGTTGCAAACGTGACTTTGGTCTGAGGTTTGTTTTTCCCTGGTAATGCTGGTTGGTTTATATCGCTGCTTCTCTGTATACGTGCATGTCTGTGGTGCAAAAGGAGGAGATGCAGAGGAAGACAGCCACGCATGCGACTCGCCTGTCGCAGGGGGTGCGACTCTTTCACCGAGGTGAAACGGCTTGCCATCTATATTAACGCTATAAAGGTCATGTTACGACTCTTGCATGTGATACATAGGCACCAGTAAGAGTATATTAACCATTCTCACATTTTATTTTTCCACAAGTCTGAGCCCTTCTCTCTCAGATCAAAACCAAAAAGTTTTGGAGCTGGTTGATCTGAGTGCCACTTTTTTTTTTTATTTTATTATTTTGCAAATTAAACCATCTGTAGCCTAACTGTAATATACCTAGTGGTTAACCTGAAAGAGTTGTAAAATATTGCTTTAATTAACCTTGTAAATACTCCAGATAAATGTTATATTCTTGTATATAAACTTTACATCATAGTTTACCCACTGTCTTGGTCTGTATTCACTTTATTTTGGGAGCACTGGCAGAAAGCCGTCCAACTGGGCTTTGTCATGGCAAAGCAGGATTTGGCCCGTGGTAGAGAAGCACGAGGAAGCATCTCGTGCTGCGACCAGAAAAACCATAGCGGACCTCATTTCCCCAGAGATGAACCCATGAGGCAGGGGACTGAGGTTCGGTCAACTCATTTTAATACATATCTGTTGAGCTCTTCAAGATGATGAGTTTTCTGGGGCTCCTTTGTTCGACCACCTGCATTTTCATCTCATCTTCTCAGAGGACTCCGCGTTTTGGTGATGTGGGATTGCAATGAGACCATTTGCTTAAAAGTCAAATCCATTTACCCATTTCTTACACTTGAAAAAAGACGTGTTGAGGAGCGCACAAGTAGACAGAAAAATCCTATTTGCAACTAGCAATTCAGAGCAAGGCATGCCTTTGTGTGTATGTACACTCACTATTCGTACTGAGAAAGAAAATAAAACCTACCTAGTAGTGTAACTAGATTAATGTTTTCCAGCATTTTTCTTACAAATGTTTTTCTGGTGAAAAGCATTACCTGCTAGAATTTTATTGTACTTATCCTGAAAAATAGTCTTGCTTCCCAGTGCTGTCACGCGTAACAAATTCCTCTTGGCTTCAACTGAGAGGATGAGCAGCCCCGATATTCCCAAGAACAACATTTTATGCTAACCATTTGCAGACAGGATGTACATCCAACATGAGATCTCTTTTTTTTAAGTAAAAAAAGCTTGTTAATGTGACATGTTTAGTGTGGGTTTTCTTCACCAAGAGAGTAAAATGATAAAATGTAAAGATTCAACATTTGTCTTATGAAAAAAAGAATTGTTCACCCTCTGCCAAAGTCTTGATACAGTCACTACACCTGGTACAAACAAGAGTAAGACTCTGATCAAGCAAAAACACCGATATCCTCAAAAGTATAATAATAATTTAAAAAACAATGAAAAAATCCCATTCCAAACTGGCTCTTTAACATCATTAAAACTTTTCTTCCGAACGGATCTGGCTTCCCAGGGAACAAACTTGTGTATTTTCGTGCTACGGCATGATTATTTTAATACCAGCACTACATCCATCATCTGATAGACCCACCGGCATCCAGATGTGGCATTGCTCTACCCATCTCACTCAGCATACAACATAATACCTGATCCAGAACAGCTCTGGTTTTAGGGGGATCAAGCTTTCAGATAAAGGGGAGCTGGCTGATGATGAGCCTACAGAGAATGGAGTTGTGCTGTCTGGTGGAGGAGGACACTTTGAAGAGGCAGTGGTTGCGATGCAGTCTCTGGGGACCAAAAATGAAGAGCCAGGATTGCTTCGCTCCGCCTGCCTTACAGGTACTGAGTCCTCCTTCAGCAACCAGAAAATTCTCTTAATTGGGCTGTCCTGGAAAGCAGCAGTACTGACGCTGATGAGGACAGACAGGTCACAAGTTGCTCACTCTGGGGTCATGATAAGGCCAAGACTATGTAAGGTTTTTCCCAAATCACTCAGTGTATGAAGACACGTTACCTACGACCAACAGGGCTCTGTCTCAAAAAAAACCCAACCAAACATTCCCCTTCCTCCATCACAAGATAAACACTGTTGCACCAGCAAAGTCCTGTTCCTCTCAGGAGAAATTGAGGAAAATAAGAAGAAACTAGCCCAGCAAACATTTAAGTTTAGTGGTATAATCAGCATCCTGGATTAAGAGCATCCTTCCACACAGCGCACCCCTACTGATACAGCTGAGTCACTGGGGCTGCCCAGCCTCAGGGGGAACCGGCAGAAGCAGGGTTACCTTTCAGATAAACACGATTTAGGCAAATATGAAGAGTAATGGGACTCACGTTTTCCCAGTTTAGTCCCATTACCTTGTTCTAACAGCACTGTGTTCAAAGGATGGGTCATATTTTCCTAACCACAGGTTTCAGTCAGTGTTTTCCAAAGGTTTATAAACCAGACATTGCAAACCATTCAGCTGAAAATTCAGATTTTAAAGTCGCAGCCTAAGGAAACTTCACCTCCCAGATGCTGGCGAAGTAGTAAACACATAAATTTTTCACATTTACTCGTTCAACAATAACTGAAAAATCTTCGTCTGTGCCAGGCAAATAGTTAACCAAACACATAAGAACAAATTATCTGAGCTTGTTACCACTGATCAGTGTGTCACATATACTTCAGAGTAACTTTATTACCTGGTATGGTATGATTCAGTTCTAACAGAATTTATTTTTTTTCCAACTGATGAAAAAAGACAACCCACTGCTGCATTTTTCAGACACTTTTTGTCTTCTTGTAATTAAAACAACATTGTTAGGCAGCCAATTATGTAGCTCCCATTGTATTTGCTTTCATAAAAACTATAAAAGCAGTTGACTACAATGGATTAGTTTAAGAATAATAATAATGATACTTGACATTTATACAGAAGTTTCCATTTAAGTTTCTCAGACTGCCTTCGCAAAAATAGGCATTAATATCCCTATTTTTCAGATCAGGAAAATGAGGCACAGTGAAGTGAAATAACTCATTCAAAACCACCCAGCAAGTCCTTTACAGTCATGAAAAGCAGCACATTTTTTGTCTCCAAGTTTTATGCTCTAATCACTAGACCACAGCAATCAGAATGGTGTACAATCAAGGCAGCACTTAGATTATAATTTGAAAGCATAATAGCAACCAAGTCTGCCTCCAACTTCTGCTTCCCCCTCAGCGTGTAAAAAAAATGACTGCCCAAGTTCAAATTTAAAACCCATCAGTAATATTCCTCACAGTCTTTTCCTTTCTTCCTTATTTATCAATCTCCCTATCCTTTAATTACTTCTTAATCCCTTCCTTTCTCCCTCACTTCTCATTCACCTCAGACACCCACAGAGAAGCCACTCAGCCCCTCTTTCGCCCCCTCATACAGCCACTTTCGCCCTCAGTAGGATTTATTAAAGAACTCATGCAGTATAACTACACACAAGCCACAAAAATCCTAATGACCAGCTTAAGACATAAAAAGACCCATGCGGGAAATTCAGCGAGAGGCATTTAAATTTAATTAATGATTTTCTGCAAGGACAGGAGGGCGGTTGGATGCCACAAGGAGCACCACAGACACATGCTGGTTGCCTCGGGCATGGCCACTATTCCTATTCTGCAGCAGGAGAATATATGGATATTTAAAGAATATAGTGAGCATGAAGATAAAGATAGATAAAGCACAGCTTTACTTGCATGGCCAGATCTACTGCACATCCCAGCCCTGCTGTTGTAACCTTGTGCTCCTGGTGCACCTCTATCAACCTTGTTCCAGATGTGTCCCTACCTCTCTTCAGCCATTGAGGGCATCAGCCAAGAGCAAAGCCACGGTGACTCAAGAAGGGACTGCCTCAACGTCCCCCAGGTACCTGCTGGGGTATAAGCAACCCCCTTACAGCCCCTTTTTAGCTGCCTGCTGCTATCCTTGCCAAACCTACCAGCCCCACAAGCCCTTCAGATGTACCCACGGTTGGCAATGCCAGAGGAAGGGCGATGGATTGATTGCTATCAGAGCAGTAGGCAGCCTTCGTTAGGTCAGGCAGCCCAGGGTTTTGTTACTGGAGCCAGAAGTTCTTCTTTCCAGGCTTCAGAGACATGCCTGTATGATTTATCTAGAAGTTGCTTCCTTATCAGCAGACGTAGCTGCAGTACAGCCTGCCTGTCTGATGAAACAACCACAGGAATGGATCTTGTTTGCCTCTGTGTGAAGAAAAGAGTGCAAGATCTTCACATTACAGGAATCCAAGACCCCAAAAGCTGTCTTGCAAACATAAATTAGCCCATGCTATATCCCTTTGAGGTGAGTTTAACAGGGTAACATTTTCCAAATGCATCCAACCCACTTCAGGGTGAGCCGTGGGCTCCTAAATCACCTAGATGATGCCTTGGAAAATATTAGCCGCTATCCCCCATTGGAGTTAGAGCCAGTTGGCCCAGGTTGGCCAGAAAGCCTGTCACCCAGCCAGGAGGAGCACCTCAGCCATCAGACAGCCAGCCCATCCCTCTCGTGACCGATCCAAAACACCAACCAACGCAGAAAGCCATGGCTGATGGAGCAAACTTCAAAACCAAGGACTGCACACACACAGAGAAGCTGTCCCTCCAAAAAGACCAGCACAAGTTAGGAGGTATGGCCACTGTCTTACAGAACAGACACAAGAAAGAGCATAAATACCTTCTAAGACCCACAGTAAAGCAGTACTATTCATGCAGCTCTTTCTCAAAACCCAAATGCTGCAGATGATCCTTTTGGAGTAATTTTCAATCCACAAAGGTGGTGCTAAATCAAGGAGGTTTTTCTATTTGGGCACAACAGGTTGTCATTAGAGGCACAGCCAAAACCAGCAGCAACTCACAGGTTTAGGAGCAACCTGAAAGGGTAGCAGAAATGCTAATTTAAGCACACTTTAAACTTGCCAGATCTTTGTTTTCAGAGCTTAACCCTGGCAGTCTTCATTAGGCATTAAACCTTCCATATGGAACCACTATGGCAGGGCAATTTAAGAGCTTCCCATTGATACCTGCCTTTATCAAGCAAGAGATAACTAATCCTTCCCTGGCAATTTCCCCGCATTATTCTCTTGCTTCAAATCCCCAACATTGTCAAATTGCCGTTTTTGTCATGTGAATCTCCAGCCACGCACAATAGCGAACCCTGGCTGCTTGCACCCCGAGACAGGTGCTTCAGTGGCCGCAGGGCTCACATCATTAGGCACACACAGAGCTATTAATCACTGCGGTTTACTCCGAGCCACAAACCTGAATCAAGTCAGGCCGCTCGCCTAAGCCAAACAATAGCTTAATTGTAATAGGGAAGGCAAAAGATCTTTGAAAGGTAGAGTTTCAGAAACTAGAGCAACTCCCTCCCTCAAAAAATCATCAGAAAACATACTGGATTTTAAGAATTAGGAGGTTTAATAATTTGTTTCCAACAAAGGAAGAAAATTAATTGAAGATAATCTTATAGAGCCTCAGACAGCCTCTTTGTTTCCTTCAGATGCTGAATTCTTCAATATGGGAAAAATTTTCAGTGTTCTCATTTACATTCTGCGATCCATAGCACAGCAATCATCCCACTGATATGAATGGTGTTTGGTGTTTTTTCCACCCCCTATAACACAGATTTTTAAATAAAGTATGGATTTTCAAAAGACTCTATGAAACTAAAGCATAAACTCAATTTCCAAAGTGTTCTTTAGTTTTGATTTTTAAGTCATTTACACAACAAAAGGATGAAAAATTAATTTTGTTGGAAGCTGTGCAAGAAGGCGTATTTAAAATGCTGTTAGATGCTTACAGATGCTTATGTGTTGCTTGAGGTACCCACATATATTTAAAAATTTGGCTGCAAAACGTATATCCTTAGCTTAATGCACTTGGCACCCAGGGATTTTGGAAAAGGGATCTATGCTGCTGAAAATATTAGCAAGTTGTAGTATCATAATCTGTCCCACACATGTGAAATGTTAAAATTGTCTTAAGCCTTTTGCTCCATCATTTGACCAGGATAAATGACTTACTGGGAGAGACTGGGAATTCTAAAGCTGGGTCTACCTTCATGAGAAAACACCTTCAGATGGCAATTTAATGACCATCTGCAAGCCAAGGCTCAGCACATGTGGACCTTGGGGATGAAAAAGACACCCTTTCAGCAATCTTGATAAGGCTGAACACCCAAGGCCCAGACTTCTTGTATTTGCCAGCTGGGCTCCCCTCCTGCTTGCCTGTCTCCCTCACTCATCCTATCTTTGATCCTCTCAAGGAGAAAACGGGATCTAGAAGAGCTTGTGGAAAACTTTACAGACAGCAGCACTCGAAAAGAGAGATAAGAAGAAGGTGCTGGTGAATACTGTAATGGAATAATCTGCTTCAACGGGAGATTCTCATCCGGCTGATGGATTCCTTTTCTGACACACTACTGAAGGGATGGTGCAGAAACAGAGCTTTAAAAAAGTAAGAGGACAAGATTTTCCAAGGAATTTGGTACCAACACACATTCTAGGTAGACTTTATGAAGTGTGAAATGATGGCCCAGGGCCGGTCCTAGGGAAATCAGCAGTATAATTCCATATACATTAACAGAAGCAGAGTAAATCCAGTATTGACTACTTTTGAAAAGTCTGCCTCTGTAAGAGTATTCGTTTTCTAAATGTCATGCTAGACATATATTAGGGACACCAGCAATGCACAAGAGCCACTCCTGCTCAAACTCCAATTAGAAAAGAAGCATTTTGAATAGATTTAATGGAACCCTCCTGAAGCCTCTGCTCTGAAATAGCATTAATGCAATAGCTGACCAAGTCTGAATAAAACATGTGTTTGT